AGTAGGCAAAATGAGTGCCATATTGCCTTAAGCAAGCAATAAAAGGTAAAAGTTTCTCCTTAACATTAAGTCTAGTCATGTCCAACTCTGTGGGTGCTGCGCATCTCAATTACTAAGCCGAATAGCCAGCGTTGTCCATACATGCCTCCTAGGTCATATGGCCAACATGACTGCATGGAGTGCTGTTTCCTTCCTGCAGAAGTACTACCTATTGTTCTACTCACATTCGCATGTTTTCAAACTGCTAGGTTGGCAGAAGCTGGGGCTAACAGCAGAAGCTCACCCCATTCCCTTTCGGTCAGCAATTTCAACAATTCGGCGGTTTAACCCACTGCGCCACTGGGGCTCCTAATGGGTGCATCTACACTGGAATCATGGGATTTGTAGTTGTGCCAGGTCTTTAGTCTTCTCTACGAAAGAACTTTCTAGGTGCAAAGATTACTGCAGACGCAGACTGCAGCCAGGAAATCAGAAGACGCTTACTTCTTGGGAAGAGAACAATGACCAATCTTGATAAAATAGTGACGAGTAGAGACATCACACTGTCAATGAAGATCTGCATAGTAAAAGCAATGGTATTCCCCATACTACTCTACAGATGTGAGAGCTGGACCATAGGGAAAGCTGAGCAAAGGAAGATAGATGCTTTTGAATTTTGGTATTAGAGGAAAGTTCTGAGAGTGCCTTGGATCGCGAGAAGAACCAACCAGTCCATACTTCAGGAAATAAAGCCCAACTGCTCATTGGAGGGAAGGATATTAGAGGCAAAGATGAAGTACTTTGGCCACATAATGAGAAGACAGGAAAGCTTAAAGACAATTATGCTGGGGAAAATGGAAGGAAAAAGGAAGAGGGGCTGACCTTTTCCAAGAGTTCTGAGGCTGTTAGGAATTCTGGGAGCTGAAATCCCAAATTCCTGGAGGGCCCAAGTTTGCCCATGTTTGTTCTGGTCCCACTCCAAGCCCTCAGGAGGAGAGCACCACTGTGCATGCGCACACAAAGCAATTTAACTCCCTTGGGCTGAAATTTGCCCATGCCTGGTGTAGACGCTGCTTTTGATTCTTTTCCACATTTTTGCTACAAACCACTTTAATGTCTCAAGTGAACTACAGAAAAGAAACACTAGTTTCATGTATTCAAGTAGAAACATGTAGCTGCAAAGCAGTACAAAGGCTTATTTATTTATTTTATTTATAATGTCAGGAGCAAACCAAAACAGTTGTATTGCATTAAAAACAAACAAACAAACAAACAAACAAACAAACAAAACACAAAGTTAGCAGACTTGGTATTCTATTAAATGTCCTTTGGCCAGTAGCTGGCCACTTGGAGTGCTTCTGGTGCATTGCAGAAAGTGGTCTGTGGTTTGCTCTTCCCCACACTTGTATGTCGTGGATTTCACTTTGTAGCCCCATTTCTTAAGGTTGGCTCTGCATCTCATGGTGTCAGAGCGCAGTCTGTTCAGCGCCTTCCAAGTTGGCCAGTTTTCTGAGGTTCTGGGTTTGAGTCTGCCACCTTTGGACACTCGCTTGCTGAGGTGTTCCAGCGAGTGTCTCTGTAGATCTTAGAAAACTATTTATTGATTAAAGTTGTTGGCGTGCTGGCCGAAACCCAAACAGGGGATGGGCCGGAGATGTCACTGCATTGGTCCTTTCACTATTGGTTGCTACTTCCCAGAGGATGTCAGGTGGTACAGTACCGACTAAACAGTATAATTTCTCCAGTGGTGTAGGGCGCAGACACCCCGTGATAATATGGCATGTCTCATTAAGAGCCACATCCACTGTTTTAGCGTGGTGAGATGTGTTCCACACTGGGCATGCATACTCAGCAGCAGAGTAGCACAGCGCAAGGGCAGATGTCTTCACTGTGTCTGGTTGTGATCCCCAGGTTGTGCCAGTCAGCTTTCGTATGATATTGTTTCTAGCACCCACTTTTTGCTTGATTCAGGCAGTGCTTCTTGTAGATAAGAGCACGGTCCAGAGTGACTCCCGGGTATTTGGGTGTGCTGCAATGCTCCAGTGGGATTCCTTCCCAGGTAATCCTCAAGAGCTCAGGATGCTTGTCTGTTCTTAAGATGAAAAGCACATGTCTGTGTTTTAGATGGATTAGGGCCCTGAGTTGCTTTCGGGCTGAAATGGGCGGGATAGAAATAATGTAAATAAATAAATAAATAAATAAATAAATAGATAAATAGGGACCAGTTGGTTTTCCCTGTAATAGGCAGTAAGAGCACCTAGAGCAGTGGTTCTCAACCTGTGGGTCCCCAGATGTTTTGGCCTTTAACTCCCAGAAATCCTAACAGCTGGTAAACTGGTTGGGATTTCTGGGAGTTGTAGGCCAAAACACCTGGGGACCCACAGGTTGAGAACCACTTACCCAGAGCTTCGGAGAACTTCTGTTCCACCATCTCAAAGCTCCTTGCTTGAGCAGTAATGGCACGATCATCAGCATAGATGAAACTCTTTGTCCCTTCTGGCAATGGCTGGACATTTGTGTAAATGTTGAACATTGATGGAGCAAGCACGCTCCCCTGAGGCAGGCCGTTCTTCTGTTTTGGCCATCTGCTTCTTTAGCTCTGCAACTCAACAAAAAAAGCTCCTGTTTTGTAGCAGATTTCCTGTGAGTATTAAGATAATATGAGTGCTTATTAGATTAGCTAGGAGCCCCCGGTGGCGCAGTGGGTTAGACCCCTGTGCCGGCAGGACTGAAGACCGACAGGTTGCAGGTTCGAATCCGGCGAGAGGCGGATGAGCTCCCTCTATCAGCTCTAGCTCCTCATGTGGGGACATGAGAGAAGCCTCCCACAAGGATGATAAAAACATCAAATCATTCGGGCGTCCCCTGGGCAACGTCCTTGCAGACTTCTTACACCAGAAGCGACTTGCAGTTTTTCAAGTCGCTCCTGACACAACAAAAAAAATAGATTAGCTATTTTTTAAACTGGAGTTACCACAGACTGAATGTGGGGTTCCTGGTTGCTTTTTGCGAAAGTGTTAGTGGCAGAATGGATGCAGAAAAATCCTCTGCATATGCTCAGAAGCACTCAAAACAGGTCTGACTTGGAATCTCTCACCTTTGATTCAGTTATTGCTCTTTATAGGATCGGATAATCACCTTCAAAGGTATGATTGGCCCAGATCCAAGTTCGCAGGATGGAAGGGGCGAGGGGAGGGAAAGTGAGCTGAGCATGCGCAGAGCGAGGAGAAAGTGAGCATGCGCGCGACACTCGAAGTGGGGGCGGGGGGACGGTAGCTGCCACCGTCACGTGGCGCTCGCCAAAGCCCACGTGCGGGCATCGGCATCTCTCTCCCCCCCCCCCACCGCTGCGCAGAGAATTCACTGCGCTTGCGCGGAAGCTCACCGCGCGTGCAAAGGAGGGAGGGGGAGGGGCGGAGAAGCTGTTCTAAGCGCCCGAGAGCGACAAAGGGTCAAAACGGGTTATTGAATCGCACGACCTTGGCCAAGTCACAGTCTCAGCTCCTCTGAAGGAAGTCTACATTGTAGAATTATTGCAGTTTGATACCACTTTAAACTGCCATAGTTGAATGTCATGTCAAAGTCCAAATAGCACCTTAGCATAACAAATCGTTACTGCACACCGCACTTGAAATCCTACGTGCCTCCTGCCATTTCAGCACTTTTAATCCCTTGTACCCAGTGCGCCGGCCGAACCAGTTTTAATAATGTCTTGATGTACTGCTATTGTTGTTATTTTGCTATTGTTTGATTTGTTCTGCTTTTGTGATGTCTGTTTCTATTATATTGTGTTTTGTGGCTTCGGCCTGTGTAAGCCGCATCGAGTCCTTCGGGAGATGCTAGCGGGGTACAAATAAAGTTAATAATAATAATAATAATAATAATGTCATGGAGTCCTGAGTGTTGTAGCCTTTAGACACCTCTTGCAAGAGAGTGCTACTAAAAATCCGGGGATTCCAATACTTTTAAAGCGGTTTCAAACTGCATCAATTCCACAGTGTAGATGTGCCCTCAAAAGCTCGATTTCAGACTGACATCACAATTCAAGAGAGATATTGACAAGCTGGAATGTGTCCAGAGGAGGGCGACTAAAATGATCAAGGGTCTGGAAACAAGCCCTATGAGGAGCGGCTTAAGGAGCTGGACATGTTTAGCCTGAAGAAGAGAAGGCTGAGAGGAGATATGATAGCCATGTATAAATATGTGAGAGGAAGCCACAGGGAGGAGGGAGCAAGCTTGTTTTCTGCTTCCTTGGAGACTAGGACGCGGAACAATGGCTTCAAACTACAAGAGAGGACATTCCATCTGAACACGAGGAAGAACTTCCTGACTGTGAGAGCCGTTCAGCAGTGGAACTCTCTGCCCCGGAGTGTGGTGGAGGCTCCTTCTTTGGAAGCTTTTAAACAGAGGCTGGATGGCCATCTGTCAGGGGTGATTTGAATGCAATATTCCTGCTTCTTGGCAGGGGGTTGGACTGGATGGTCCATGAGGTCTCTTCCAACTCTTTGATTCTATGATTCTATCACAGCCAAGCAGTACACATAACAAAGCGCACGCCCCGGCGCATGCGTCTCGGGAGAATTTATTTTTCAGGCCCAAGGTTTATGGCGGGTCCAAGTCCGTGCACGAGATTAGTTTACGAAATGCCCAGCCAATCAAATCAACGTATGGAAAAGAGTGGGTGGGGGAAAATCTGCCATTCATGCAGATAGGCAGCGTTTTTAGCCAATGAGAGGAAAGCTAGGGTTGAGGCAGCGAATGGGTACGAGTTAAAACGACGTAGCTAAACCCCGGAAAACCAATAGGGAGGAGGTTGATTTACATGCAGCCCAATTATTATGATCAACCCTATAAAGGCATGGCTTGGCTAGATCGGCATCTCTGGCAACGAATAACTCGTGAGGTTTTTGAGGCTTCGGCCAATAGAAACCGAAGAGAAGACGGCAAAGGGGGCGGGTTCCCCTGTGACGGCTAGGCGCAGGAACCAATTGGCGGCGGCGTTATTGCAGCGTTGTCCAATGGCCGGCGCCGGGGGCGGGCTTTGATGTGTTTGGGTTCGTGCCCCTCAAGGGAGTGAGACGACGGCGACGAGGAAAGTTTATCTCTTGGTGGTGGGTCCCCCGCCTCCCCCTTGCCCTCCCCGCCGCTTGTTTTGATCTCGGCGCCTGGAGGCTGGCTGTGCCCGGTGGGCGGGAAAAAGCGGCTCCCTCCAAAGGCGGCGGCCTCCGCCTGAGGCGAAGAGGCGACGCGCGGCCTCGGTGGTTTCTTGGAGGTGAGCAGCGGCGATGAAGGCCTCAGCCCTCCACCTTTGGGCCTTCCCTTATTCGGGCTTGCAGGATTGTCGGGCCTCCTTTCGGGGGAGAAAAATCTCCTCAGACTCGGCGGCAAAAGGCTAAGAGAGCGATGTGAGGGTGGTATTTAAAGGGCGGGAAGGGAAGGTCGTGAGGCGCCGTCTCGTTCGAGTGTTAGGGCCGTTTGAGGCGAGGGGGGGGGGGGGTCGTTAGGGAAAGAGCTCCCTTTCCCGTAGTTGTTGGAACCGGGCTATTCGAATGTGGCCTGAGGGGGTGAAATTGCTTTTGCGCGCATGCGCAGTGGAGTTCTCTCTCTGAGGGCTTGGAGTGGGACCAGAGCAGGCGTGGACAAACTTGGGCCCTTCAGGCGTTTTGGACTTCAACTCCCAGCATTCCTAACAGCCTCAGGCCCCTCCCTTTCCGCCTCAGCCCCTTAAGCGGCTGAGGGGGGAAAGGAAGGGGCCTGAGGCTGTTAGGAATGCTGGGAGTTGAAGTCCAAAACCCCCGAAGTATGACACCCCAGTACATATAAAAAAGATCTTGGAGTCCTTGTGGACAACAAGTTAAACATGAGCCAACAATGTGATGTGGCGGCAAAAAAAAAACCAAAAACCCAATGGGATTTTGGCCTGCATCAATAGAAGCATAGTGTCTAGATCTAGGGAAGTCATGTTACCCCTCTATTCCGCTTTGGTTAGACCACACCTCGAATATTGTGTACAATTCTGGGCACCACAATTCAAGAGAGATATTGACAAGCTGGAATGTGTCCAGAGGAGGGCGACTAAAATGATCAAGGGTCTGGAGAACAAGCCCTATGAGGAGCGGCTTAAGGAGGTGGGCATGTTTAGCCTGAAGAAGAGAAGGCTGAGAGGAGATATGATAGCCATGTATAAATATGTGAGATATTGACAAGCTGGAATGTGTCCAGAGGAGGGTGACTAAAATGATCAAAGGTCTGGAGAACAAGCCCTATGAGGAGCGGCTTAAGGAGCTGGGCATGTTTAGCCTGAAGAAGAGAAGGCTGAGAGGAGATATGATAGCCATGTATAAATACGTGAGAAAAAGTCACAGGGAGGAGGGGGCAAGCTTGTTTTCTGCTTCCCTGGAGACTAGGATGCAAACAATGGCTTCAGACTACAAGAAAGGGGATTCCACTGCACTTACCCTACAATCCTCACATACCACCTATCACATCAGCAGTTTTAATCCTGTACCCCTTTACCTGGCCCAGTTTTCATAGTGTCTTGATGTATTGTTTATTGCATGTCGTTAATATTGCTTTAACTGTTTTTAATTTGCTTTAGCTGTTGTTGTGTTGTGTTTTGAGGCCTTGGCCTTTGTAAGCCGCATCGAGTCCTTCAGGAGATGCTAGCGGGGTACAAATAAAGTTAATAAATAATAATAAATAATAATTCCATCTGAACATGAGGAAGAACTTCCTGAGTGTGAGAGCCGTTCAGCAGTGGAACTCTCTGCCCCGGAGTGTGGTGGAGGTTCCTTCTTTGGAAGCTTTTAAACAGAGGCTGGATGGCCATCTGTCAGGGGTGATTTGAATGCAATTTTCCTGCGTCTTGGCAGGGGGTTGCACTGGATGGCCCATGAGGTCTCTTCCAACTCTTTGATTCTATGATTCTAAAGGAATTGTATTGTCGAAGGCTTTCATGGCCGGAATCACTGGGTTGTTGTAGGTTTTTTCAGGCTATATGGCCATGTTCTAGAGGCATTCTCTCCTGACGTTTCACCTGCATCTATGGCAAGCATCCTCAGAGGTAGTGAGGTCTGTTGGAACTAGGAAAAAAGGTTTATATATCTATGGAATGACCAGGGTGGGACAAAGATCTCTTGTCTGCTGGAGCTAGGTGTGAATGTTTCAACTGACCACCTTGATTAACATTTGATGGCCTGGCAGTGCCTGGGGCAATCTTTTGTTGAGAGGTGATTAGATGTCCCTGATTGTTTTCCCTCTGTTGTTTTGCTGTTGTAATTTTAGAGTTTTTTAATACTGGTAGCCAGGTTTCCTCCTGTCTGTTGAAATTGTCCACATTCTTGTGGATTTCAATGGCTTCTCTGTGTAGTCTGACATGGTGGTTGTTAGAGTGGTCCAGCATTTCTGTGTTCTCAAATAATATGCTGTGTCCAGGTTGGTTCATCAGATGCTCTGCTATGGCTGACTTCTCTGATTGAAGTAGTCTGCAGTGCCTTTCGTGTTCCTTGATTTGTGTTTGGGCAATGCTGCATTTGGTGGTCCCTATGTAGACTTGTCCACAGCTGCATGGTGTAAGAAAGGAATTGCCGTTGGGTCCCCAGACACAGGCTCGATTTAAACTCTGTCAGAGTGAGCAGTGGTTTAAATATTTGGAAAAAAAAGTCATATTGATGAGGGGCAAGGTCATTTTCTGTTGCCCTGGCGACTAGGGCATGGAGCATTAGATTCAGATTGTATGTAAACATTAGGAAGTCCTTGATGTGGTGGAGTATCATTCTCTGGAGGTTTTAAAGCAGAGGTTGGATGGCTATCTGTCAGGAGTGATTTGATTGTGTGTTCCTGCATGGCAGGGGGTTGGGTTGGATGGCCCTTGTGTCTTACAACTCTATGATTCTGATAACCCAGAGTGCAAAAGATCCCTTTTTGGGCGACAGCTCCCAGCATACCCAGCCAACCTATCTATTAGAAATACTGACTAGGGATAATGGGAGACATGGACATATCTGTAGACATTACACAGATATATAAACCTTACTTGCTTAGTCTCCAACAAACCTCACAACCTCTGAGGATACCTGCCATAGATGGGGGTGAAAGATCAGGAGAGAATGCTTCTGGAACATGGCTATACAGCCCGTAAAATTTACAGCAACCCAATATAAGTAATGTTTCCTATCCCTGATCCTAGCCAAACTCTGAAATAGATATTGACTGCAAGTGTAAAGACAAAAACAAACTGAGTGTCATTCCTACATGGTTACAGTAAGTACAAATTGAGTACCTCTTATCCAAAATACTTGGGACCAGAAGTGTTTTGGATTTTGGAGTATAATACCTGTATTTGCTTATATGTACATCATTTTGGGAGATGAGACACAAATCTAAACATGAAATTCACTTTTATATACCCCTTATCTTCATAACCCAATGGTAATTTTATACACAATGTTTTTAAACGTTTGTATATATTGAGATATCAGAAAGCAAAGCTGTCACAATTGCACCACCTATATATACAACTTTGGAGTATTTCAAACTATGGTATGCTTAACTTGTGTGTCATTTCAGCTGAGGGTGAAAGTCCTGAAATATGGCGAGGATTGTGATTGGTTGTTGATCTGCAAAATGTTTGCGCTACTGCCTGGCTGCACAGAGCCTCCACTCTGGTCCCGTCCCGTCCCCCCCCCCCCCCCAAATCTCTCAAGTTTTAGACTTCGGTTCTGTGGTGCAGTCAGTCAAGAGTAGGAACTGATGCTGAGGACAGTCAAGAAGCCTCTGGTGTAAATCTTATTTATAGCACCTCTGGTTCTAGCAATCCCCTTTGAATGCAACATGAAAAATGATCCTGAAGGATATAAATAAATATAACCCGACTGCTTGCATCTTTCTCTTCTCTCCCTCACTCCCCTTGTCTCTTGACCAACAGGACTGCCTAGAACCCCAAGAGAGTGGCGGCTACGTAAAAGTTACATATAATAAGATTTAGATTAGGATTTGTAACCCTTCTTTAAAAATGTTGGAGACAGTATTTTTGTTTGAGGGAAATATGAAGTTATTTCCCTCAAACAAGGTTGGGTGACAAGAAAAAGAACAATAACAGTGAGAAAACAGTTTTGTGTGATATGGTTTACTAAAGTATCACGAGGAGAACATTATGTTTCGGACAGCGAACTACTGACTAAAATAGATGCAACTTTCTCCTGTCTGTTGCACACTGTTTCCCTGTGTCTTGTTCACAGTTGCCTTCTAAAAAGATCATAATTGAGGTGCTGTTACTTGGTATATACTGGCAGATTTGAAGTTTATGTGTGCCTTCAAGTTGCCTTATATGATGAGTCCATGGATTTTATAGGGTTTTCTTAGGCAAGGAATGCTCAAAGGTGGTTTAGACAGTAATCTGAATTTATCACCCTTTTAGCTGCCTTAATGATATGATTGCAGAGGGTAAAAAGGTATTACACTGATCTCAAAAATATATGATAGAGACATATTAACATTTTGGAACTAAAGCAAACTGATCATCTATTTTCAGACTATGAAGTTATCCATTTTTTGGAAGTATAGAGTGAAATCTGAGAAATGTAGGATAGATTATTTTTTTTGGTCATTTTTTGTGTTTTGAGTGATCATGCTATCAGTTATGCCAGCTGCTAATCAACCTCAGAGTATGATTTAAAAGAAGTGACTTTCTTGGTGTGACTTGTTTAGTTCTAGGTATCCTAAGATAAATTTTGTTATTTCTACGATAGTTAAAGATTTGGAGGAGCGGGGATAGTAACTTCATATTTTTGTCATGATGGAAAATATTTGTCAGTGATTCTGAGATTGTGTTTACTTGAACATAGTGAAAGCATTGCCATGACCTCCTTTTCTGCAACATTTATTTAAATTTCTAATGGCTTTCCTCATTTAAAAATAGCATCCCTGTAGTTTTCCGCTTTTACACTGTAGTATTAAATTCTTGTTCTGGTTCATTGCAAACATTTGAATTTTGCATTTCATTGTGATTGTAAGTTCTTTAATATAGCAAAATAAAACCATATGTTTTTTCATATTGTTTGGATCAATAAACTGTAGGTAAGGTGAGATTAATCTCTTGAAGAATTAAAAAAAAATAGACTCATGAGATATTTGATGGAGGCTCATTGCTCTTAGTTGCCTCTTAGAACAGTTTCCATAAACGAGCGGTAGGACAACTGCAAAATAGTTGCTATATTCATGTGTTTGTAAGTTAAGGTTTTATTATTGCTATATATTTTAAGTTAAATGGAGGTTAGAGTTTGTTCAAGGCATGGCAAACTATCTCATTACATCAGAATGGAATGTTCACACTTGTTTCATTTCATATTCCATAACCCAATCAGTCTTGATTAAGTCTTCCACGTCTCCAAATCTTTATTCCCCACTTACCTAACATGGCAGAAATTTGTATTTAGCATATGAAACTACTTGGTACCAGCCACACATTGACCACCTAGCACATATGCAGGTGGTTCTTAGTACGCCCTTCCTACTCCCTCAATATATTAAAAACACCTTCCCCCATAAAAATCAGAGCAAAACATTATTGTCAAGAATCATAGACTTGGGGCCTTATTATATTATAAAATTACTGTGCCGTTACTCCTCTTTAACTATCTTGACAACATTGTATGAAATTCTAGGATTTGCAGGTTAGGAAGGGATATTTACAGTCCTTAGCCTGAGGATTCTTGGACCAAGGTACAGACCCCAGACTAATGCAGAATGTTGCTATGGAAGTTATAAAGGAATAATATTAATATAACAATTTAGTATGATAGGGATAATTAATGAGAGAATTAACAAATATCTTTGATTGAACAGTGTGATTCTGTGCTTTTAAGCAATAGTGCTTTTTTTCTTTTGTTTGAGTTCACCACTTTCATGAGCCACCTTGAAAAAGCATTAATTAATAGTAATGTGATGTCTATTCACAGTGATAGGGGATAGTAATGTGATAGGGGATTGTTTGGGTGGTAATGTTATTTTGTATTAGGGATAGTTCACGGGATTTAATGTTACTCATATTTCCTGGTTAAGCTGGATATGAAGCAAAAAAAATATGATTGTAGTTATTTTTTGTGCCTTCAAGTAGTTTCCAGATTAAAAGACCTAAGGCAACTGTATCACAGGGATTGCTAGGCCTGATTTGTTTCTGAGTAGGGGAGGGGGGGTTACGTTTGCCTTCCTTTGTGGTTCTGGGAATGTGATTTGCCCAAAGTCATCCAGTGGGTTTCCATGGCTGAAAATAGAATTTAAACACTGATCTCCAGAGTTGTTGTTCATTATTCAAGCCACAATAACATGCAGGTACTCAACATTAGCTAGCGTTGACCATAGCACTAATACGTCCTTTAACCATAATGGTGACAGAACATAACACACATTTCCAAGGCTGGGGAATTATTACTCTATCTACATTCATCTTGTAATTTCAACATGTGAAGTTCGAAATTTTGTTCAGACCAATGCTTCCCTCAGCCATCTATCTTCATTACCACAATTTAAGTTACCATAGCAGAAAAAGATGGTTTTTCAAAACTTTTTAGTAATGTGCTCTCTGCCTTCTTGTATGAAATTTTCATCCAAAATTATTTTTGTTAATAGCCTAAACTGAAGAAAGAATTTTGAAAACTAGTTTCTGTACATTCATAATTCAGCAGTGTGGTTGAATCATTTGCCTATTGTGGTCTTAAACACTATGTAAAATGAAGGATGAATAATTGGTGATTATAAACTTTGTGATTATATCTCTTATATCTCTTGATGTCAAATTACTTTCAGCAAAGTTCACAGCTCAAAACTGTTGAAGTCTCTTCTAAATATTTGTGTTTATATAGCCATATGATTACATATCTAATTTTTATATTGGAATATATACAAATATATTATTAAAACAAAAGAATTTGGGAACCTTAAAGGCTGTTAAGCTTTATTTGGCATAAACCTTTGTATACTTTACACTGTTTTATCAGATGCAACTGGATTGGATTCCGCAAGAACTTATGCCATGATAACATGTGTTATTTTTTAACCAAGTCTGTGTTTTCTTTTCTGAAATAGACTGACATGGCTACCAGCACCATCTATAAAACTTAAAAAACAGATTTTAAACGGGGCTGACAATTTTGGCCAAGATCCTGCATTGGAAGACCCATCTGCAGAGATGTAGGTATGTTTTCCAATGCTACCATTCCAAACATACCATCTTAAGATCACAGCCCTGTTATCTAGCAAGGCAAGGGATTATGGAGAAGTGCCCATTTGCTATAGAAGCCTTTGTACTGGGAGAGAGAGTTCATCTTCACACTCAGAATACTTCCGCTCACCTGCAGTTACACAATAGATTCCAAATTCTCACACAACTATCACCTGACCAAGAAACACAACATATTGGGGAAGACCAGAATGGCTTAGATACTGATCAGTGGCATCATCCTTGATCAGTAGTGCGGGGAAGCCCTGACTGGGACCGAAACAACTTCACAACAATCAACCCTTTGCACAATCGTAGTCAGGTAGTACCACCCCAACCAATAGACCAGGAGCAAACAGGAACACAGACAAGGGAAACCATAGGCATCTTGGAAACGAAACATCTCAATGGATTGTCCTTGACAGAATGCACCGGGGATGTCGAGGAGGAGGACAACACTTTTCACCTACACAATTCACACCAACAGGATCACTTTTCTGGAGACCTACACACTACATTGCACAAAAGGGGCCCTGTCATTCCCGAAAGTAAACAGGTCTTGGTAGTAGGCGACTCCCTCCTTAGAGGAACGGAAGCTGTCATTTCCAGACCAGATGGGATGGCTCGAGAAATATGCTGCCTACCGGGGGCAAAAATACACCATATCACTCAGAGGCTCACCAGGCTCCTCAAGCCCTATCACCGTCCTCCCCTCATGTTGATTCATGTAGGAACCAATGATACTGCAAGGCATACGTTTTAAAAGATCACAAATGATTTTCGAGCTCTAGGAGCAAAGCTAAAAGAATGTAATGTACAAGGTCAATGACTGGCTTAGAAAATGGTGTCAGGAGGAACGCTTTGGCTTCCTTGACCATGGTCTGCTTTTCCAGGAGGATGGCCTACTGGCAAGGGATGGGGTGCATCTCACACAAGTAGGAAAACACCTTTTTGCTCACAGACTCGCAAACCTCATTAGACGCACTTTAAACTAGGTCCACCGGGGGAGGGGGACAACAGCCTTGCGAACACTACTTTACCCATAATGTCTGGGAATCGCCAGAAGGCTAAACAGAGGGCTGCACAAACACAACAAGGACCAAGTACCAAAAGCACAATAATCCCAATTAAACAGCTCAAGGGAAGATCCCAGGGGCTCACATGTCTTTACACTAATGCACAGAGCATGGGAAATAAACAAGACGAACTCCAACTTTTAGCACAACACCACAAATATGATATCATAGGAATCACTGAAACCTGGTGGGATGACTCCTATCGCTGGAATGTAGATATCGAGGGGTATAACCTCTTTCACAGAAACCGAACAAAGGGGAGAGGAGGCGGAGTAGCCTTATATGTCAAAAACTCTTATTCTACAGAAGAGATTCAAGACAGCAATCTGGGAAACCAGCTTGAAATCATCTGGATAAGAATCAAGGGAACTGGGACTCAAAAAGATGTCGTTGTAGGCGTCTACTACAGACCCCCAAGCCAGGAGGAAGAACTTGATGAAGTCTTCTGCCAACAGTTGACCAAACAGGCACAGAGAAGAGATGTAGTAGTCATGTGCGATTTCAACTATCCCGATATTTGCTGGAAAACAAACTCGGCCAAGAGTACAAGGTCCAACAAATTCCTCGCTTGCCTTGCAGACAATTTCATGGTCCAGAAGGTAGAAGAGGCAACAAGGGGGTTGGCTACTCTTGATCTCATCCTAACAAATGCGGAGGACCTGATCGATGCGGTCGAAGTGGTAGGATCCTTAGGGGCAAGTGACCATGTGCTCCTGCAATTTGAGGTACAAAGGAAGGCCGAAACTAAGACAAGTCAAACCCGCGTTTTGGACTTTAGGAGAGCTGATTTCCAAAAAATGAAGGAAACGCTGAGCAGCATTCCGTGGACACAGATACTAAAAGACAAGGGAGTTACGGATGGATGGGAGTTTCTCAAGAGTGAAATACTCAAGGCGCAATTGGAAACCGTGCCAACAAAGAGAAAAAATAGGACAAGTGCAAAGAAGCCAGAATGGATGTCCAAAGAACTTCTAACTGTGCTAAGACACAAAAGAGACATGCACAAGAAGTGGAAAAAGGGAGAAATCACCAAAGAAGAATTCAAACACATGGCCAACACCTGTAGGGAAAAGGTCCGCAAGGCTAAAGCAAAAAACGAGCTCAGACTTGCCAGGGACATTGAAAACAATAAAAAGGGCTTCTATTCTTATGTCAGTAGAAAAAGGAAAAACAAGGAGGCGATAGGACCTCTTCGAGGAGAAGATGGGGCAATGCTGACAGGGGATAGGGAAAAGGCAGAACTACTTAATGCCTTCTTTGCCTCGGTCTTCTCACAAAAAGAGAGTCTTCAACCTCAGCAAGATGGAGTGGATGAGGGATTGGAGGACATCCAACCCCAAATTGGGAAAGAAGTCGTCCAGGAATACCTGGCTCTTAATGAGTTCAAGTCCCCAGGGCCAGATCAACTACACCCCAGAATATTGAAGGAACTAGCGGAAGTCAGTCTTCTTGGAACCATTGGCAACCATCTTTGAGAGTTCTTGGAGAACGGGAGAAGTCCCAGCAGATTGGAGGAGGGCCAATGTGGTCCCAATCTTCAAGAAGGGAAAAAAGGATGACCCAAACAATTACCGTCTGGTCAGCCTCACGTTGATACCAGGCAAGATTCTGGAAAAGATTGTTAAGGAAGCGGTCTGCAAACACTTAGAAACAAATGCAGTCATCGCTAATAGTCAACATGGATTTATCAAAAACAAGTCATGCCAGACTAATCTGATCTCTTTCTTCGATAGAGCTACAAGCTGGGTAGATGCGGGGAATGCCGTGGATGTAGCGTACCTGGATTTCAGTAAGGCCTTCGACAAGGTCCCCCATGACCTTCTGGCAAGGAAACTAGTCCAATATGGGCTAGGCAAAACTACGGTGAGGTGGATCTGTAATTGGTTAAGTGGACGAACACAGAGAGTGCTCACTAATGCTTCCTCTTCATCTTGGAAAGAAGTGACAAGTGGAGTGCCGCAGGGTTCCGTCCTGGGCCCGGTCCTGTTCAACATCTTTATTAATGACTTAGATGAAGGGCTAGAAGGCATGATCATCAAGTTTGCAGACGACACCAAATTGGGAGGGATAGCCAATAGTCCAGAGGACAGGAGCAGAATTCAAAACGATCTTGACAGATTAGAGAGATGGGCCAAAACTAACAAAATGAAGTTCAACAGTGACAAATGCAAGATACTCCACTTTGGCAGAAAAAATGAAATGCAAAGATACAGAATGGGGGACGCCTGGCTCGAGAGCAGTACGTGTGAAAAAGATCTTGGAGTCCTCGTGGACAACAAGTTAAACATGAGCCAACAATGTGATGTGGCGGCAAAAAAGCCAATGGGATTTTGGCCTGCATCAATAGGAGCATAGTGTCTAGATCTAGGGAAGTAATGCTACCCCTCTATTCTGCCTTGGTTAGACCACACCTGGAATACTGTGTCCAATTCTGGGCACCACAATTGAAGAGAGATATTGACAAGCTGGAATGTGTCCAGAGGTGGGCGACTAAAATGATCAAGGGTCTGGAGAACAAACCCTATGAGGAGGGGCTTAAGGAGCTGGGCATGTTTAGCCTGAAGAAGAGAAGGCTGAAAGGAGATATGATAGCCATGTATAAATATGTGAGAGGAAGCCACAGGGAGGAGGGAGCAAGCTTGTTTTCTGCTTCCTTGGAGACTAGGACACGAACAATGGCTTCAAACTACAAGAAAGGAGATTCCATCTGAACATGAGGAAGAACTTCCTGACTGTGAGAGCCGTTCAGCAGTGGAACTCTCTGCCCCGGAGTGTGGTGGAGGCTCCTTCTTTGGAAGCTTTTAAACAGAGGCTGTATGGCCATTTGTCAGGGGTGATTTGAATGCAATATTCCTGCTTCTTGGGGGGGTTGGACTGGATGGCCCATGAGGTCTCTTCCAACTCTTTGATTCTATGATTCTATGATTCTCCCTGCTTTCTTGTGGCTTTTTAGTTGTGTGTCCAATGACCATAAACATGAAGTGTGATGGCACACTTCAGACATACATTATGCAGTACAAACCCATATCAATGACAGATACATTTCTGAACCTACTGAAACAGGAAGCCATGGATAATAGCTAACCCTATTGAAATTAACATCTTCTAACAGAAGTTATCATAGCATATAATAGAAAATGCCTAGAGGACCTAGGAAATGCCTAGAGTGAATCTATTTTGTCAGATGTGAATGGGAAACTGTGTCTGTCAACCAGTTCTATGGATGTGGGGATTGTATTACAATTACTGAGCTAGATGACAACTCACATTCAAAAGACCTGTGTTGGGGAAAACAGTAATAAACACACTAGTTTAGTCTCTGCTAGGAGATTTGCCACAGTGACCTGAATGTTCCTGTAACTTGCAGCTTGCATATTTTGATTTATGTAGACAGCCTAGTTACAGTACCAAGTTGATATAGGGAGCTTAATGTGTTTCAACATTTGGAAGAACTATGTTTATTTCAGTTTTGTGTTTTTCACTCCTTTCAGGCCAGTTGCCACCATCATGGTTGATTGCTGATTTAGGTGCTCTATAGTTTAATTTAGTATTGCAGTATGGGGAGGTATCTAATGTGAACAGCTTCAGTGTTTTTAGACAAGTATTCTAATATGGAAATATCTAAAATAATGTTAGGTGTAGTAGTGTTGGGTGTTTCTATGGATCATCAGTACAATTTTATTGTTGTTCATCCAATAGTTTCCTGTAGTTTTTGCCAGTCATGAAAGTATGGATTGTAAACACATTGATACTTGACCACTTCTATTGCCTTATTTTGGGAACATTTTTACCTTCAAATTTTTGCCTGTTACATTGTTTTAAGATGATAGGTGCTGATAAGCTTTGAACTGTTTTTCCCCTTTTATTTTACAGTGGTTTGACTTTTGCACTGAATGTAGCCAGTCCGGACCTTTTCGGGCTTCAGCAGCCCTGAGAAGCTGTCAAGGTAATTCCTGTATAAAGAAGAAAGTATGTATTCAATAAAGGGATGAGGTGACTAGCTAGGTTAAGTCTGCATTGATATATTATGGGTTGTTTTTAATTCCAAGTAATGATATAATAAGGAATCTGTGGGAAGGATTAAAGTATATATTCAGCATTTTGTAAAATTACTCAATATAGTTTGTTACTCAGCAAATAGGCGCACATAGATAATCTAAGAGATATTGAGAAATATCTTGTTCATCTGATGTGAAATTTTAGATATACTGTTCAAATGTTTCCATTATATTCAGTTGATACTGATATACAAAATGAGTCTTTTTTATTTGAAATTATTGGGACCAGAAGCTTTTTGGATTTAAGGTGCTTTTTTTTCAGATTCTGAAATATATACATTATAATATATGTACATAAAATGTAGTATCTGTACTGTACAGGAGTTCGCTGCGAACCCATGAATGAAATGGAGTGTTGTGGATGTTGGTGACAGCAGAAGCAGCGGGGAGAGTGGGTAGAGGGAAGGAGGAAGAGAGTGTGGCTAGCCAGTACAAAAGAACCGTAGGTAACTTTCTCCTGGTGGACCCAGGCCAGCCCCTTGCAGGACTCATAAAGAGTCAGAGGCAATGAAAATAAATAATCTTCTCCTCCTCAACTGCAGTAATAGGTGCTACCAGAACATGAAGTAGTGAGGAGGCCTGGCTCAGGCGCCTCCTATGGCAGCAGATGCTCCTTTGTGGAGACAAAATTAGAGGCCAACTCAGGCTCCTCCTCCTCTTCAGTGCATTCTTCTCACCTTTGCATCTTTCTGGTAGGTAGAAAGGGGTGTTCAATGACCTTCCAAGGCTGAGTTGTGTGCAAGTGAGAAGATAATGGGGAGCCAACAACAAAAAGTTTTAAGGGATTTTCAGATTTTGAAATTCTGGATAAGGCAGACCCAAGCCAGTATGTACAGCGAGTCAAGTGAAGATGCATATAAGCTGGGGATCAATACAAGTAGCACTGGAAAGTTGAGTCCCACATTCTCTAGAGTGGTTTCTACCAACATGGGTCCATAAAGATGTGGTGCTTGGCAACTTCCATCAACATAGCATGATAAGTTGTTGTGAATAATGAAAATAATAATTTAAAACATTTGAGGAGTCCAGGTTTGGGGATGGAGGGTGCGTCTACATTGTAGCTATGGAATCTTGGGAGTTGTAGTTTTACAAGGTCTTCCAAACCTGTGTCAAAGAGTTCCGGTGCCTCTCAAAACTACAATTCCCATTATTCCATAGCATTGAGCTGTGCCTGTTAAAGTGGTATCTGTGCATTAATCTTAAAGCATAGATATAGCCTTAGGCTTATTTCTGTAGATGAAAATATTTGCAGTAATTCTAAGATGAGTAATGTCCTTTCATACTTTATAACTGTCATTCCAGTGTACAGCATCTCTAAAGAACAGACAGTTACCATAAACAGTTTGCTAGTTGCCTTCTTTTCGCAACAATGTATAGTTTTATAGAATATCAAATTACCTCATGTGAAGATGTTTCATGGTCTTTCTTTAAAGTTAAAGTTAGATATGTGGACAGTTTGCTTACAATGTTATTTGCTCTTATAGTAAAGAGAAAAAAGAACAAAAATGTCTCTGTTTCACTAAATTGCTTTCCCAGAATAAAGTACTGTGTAGCCTTTCATATATTTGACTTGCATAAATGGGCTTGTCAACTACTTGTGGCAAATAATCCTAAAATCTATGGCATGCTGTCATATTTGCTGGTAATATTTGGCAGTATATGTTCTTTCCCTCTAAATTTCAGTATATTCTTGGAGACTAAATGTGGGTTCAATGCATCCTCCATCATAAGATAGAACAATCTTTTCTTCCTGTGTTGATCCTATAACTGGGGCACACCTCTGTTGTTGCTAGCTAAACCGCTATTTGATCACTCCAGAACGTGAAAGGGTATTCATTGGAATCATGCATACTCAATAACAAGTATATATTTTTCTGCATATTATAAAAATGGACTGAGACATTTTTCAATCTGCTCACTGACCCATTCTGCAAGATCTGGAAGTTCTTGTATATAGTAGAAGTACAAAAAGTGATTTGCCAGGCACTCGCTGTTCATGCAGGAAAAAAAAATTGAAGTAACTATTTTGTTACCCACTTTGTTTCAAATTATGGAATGGCATAATTGTTCAACCTTTTCATGAATGATTTTGTATTTTTTTTAAAACACCATGTAGTTAAGGCAGAATGCATGGTTCTGGAATTAACAATTTACTATCTGTAAAATTCAGGGGGCAAACTCCATATGAGAACAAAGATTAATTTTCTGTAGCAATAAGTTTAATGAATAATTTGCACACATAGAATAATTTCTGTTGTAACACAGTAGTACTTAATTTTAATTAGTATTTTTTTTAAACCCAGCAGAGTGGGTTAACCTTTCTACAGGCTCAATTCTGCCCAAAATTTCTTAGTATACATATTCATATTTGCACATCATTCTTCTTACCCCTTTCAATCTTTTTCTCCTACCTCATTTCTGTGACTGGGATGCTTGTGGGGGAATGCTTCTATTGGCCAATAAGTTAAGTATTTACAATGTGTGAATTGATTCATAAACTCAGCTTCCAACCTATTTTTTTCAATATGTTTTTCTTTCCTTACCCCTCCCCCCCCCCCCCCCCAACAGAACTTCAGATTTTTGCGAAGTTTTGCACAGATCCTGTTCCCATGCAAACTGATGAGGGAGAAATTTTGGAGGAAGGCAGTTCCAAGGTCAGTGAAATGGATGCATGATGCTAGAAAAAACGTTAATTTGCACATTGATTATTGTTTATATATTGGTATCTAGAAGACTTCTAGATATCCTTGCATTAATTAAGATGATTTTTTTTCAAAGTTCAGTTTTCCATTTTATGCTAATATTTCCAAATTAGAGGATGTGGCATTTTATGAGAATTTGGCATTTGCCAGAATATTTCTGTCCTGAAGATACTTTCTCATCTGTCTGTTGCAGATAAATCCTATATATACATGTCTGATAGGGTTGTAATTTGGTATTTCTAATGAGAAATTTGTCTTCTAGAAATTTAAGAAAAAAACTTGTAAACTGAAGAGTTCAATCTTCACACTGTTTATTATGTAGGTTGCAATTTTATTCAAGTACCCAAGATTAAATCTTATTGAACTTGTAAAGTTTATTTCTGAGTTGACATAGGGTTATGCTGCACATTATTTCCAAAGGAATAGCCCTGCTAGTTTGTTGTAGCAAAACCAATAAAAAGTCTGTTGACATCTTGAAGATACTCAAATTTGTTACAACAACTCTTTTTTGGGCTATCAGATGTCCCTGGTAATGTGGACTAGAGTATATGAGTACTTAAGGTGATTCAGGGGCATGTTGCTAGGCACTGCTTCAGTTAGGAATTTCTGTGGATCAGTGTGCAAAAATAGCTTTAAAAACATTACATTTTACAGAAAGATGAGTAAAATAATTATTTTCAAACTACTGCATATAAATAATAAGGCAGCTTTTAAGAAATCATTAATGGATGTGTGTTTCAGCATGAGTTTCTATGAAACATATATTGATTGGAAAGTTTTTGTCTGGATCATTCTTGTTTTGCTGGTACTCCTTAATTAGTAGTCCTACCTGCTTCTTCAAAATAGCTGCATAAATTTGTGTTCTGCTTAAATCTTCCTGCTTTTCAGACTAGAATGAGACTGCAGTTATTCACTCATCTGAAATCTGCTATGCGTTCACATCGCAATCCATCCTGATGCTTAATATATTGCACTCTTGCTTGCAAATTATTATATCTCACTTTGTTATTCTTACTCTTACATTCCACTTCTTGGCCAACTGTCATTGTGGAAATGACTTGATTCTCTGCCTTTGAAATTCAGGGCTGTGTAATAGTGGCATTGTCAAGCCAGAAGGGATGAGAGTATATATTTTTCAAAAGACAGATTACTGAATAATGCTATTGCACATGCAATAATGCTCTTTCTCAGACTTGGCAAACATATCTAATTGTTTAGACATGTAGAACTTATTTGTGGTATTTATAATTAGGGGAGCTGCCAAAAGCAAATGAGGCAATATATAGCATCATGAATTTGTAACCAGCTATTTGTCTGAAATTAATTGCTGTGTGCCACAAATGAGAGTCAAACTGTAGGGTCAAAGTTAATATCAGATATCATATTGGCAGTGAATATATGTGTAACTGCTTTATAGTGACTCAGAACATTAATGCATTTATATCAGTACTCTCAAATCAGATTAGGAATATTGCTAAAAAATAATTATTCCAAGCCATTGAATATGAATTTTTTAATGGGAGCAGTGCATGCAAAGCATGTGCTCTGGATCTATATGCCTTTACAAAAATCAGCCACATTAAAGGATTTAATACTTTCAGAATTGTACTGCTCTTCTGAATGCTGAATTTTGGACTTCAGGTCCAATAAGAGAAATATGAATTAAAAGATGAAAGAAGAAAAAAAACATGCATATGGAGTTTGGTACAACCAAATCTATCCCCAGTGTTTCAGTATTTGAAAATGGATTCATTCATACTGCTAGTATGCTTATTTGTTTGTCCTGGTAATTGATGCTATTTGCTATAGAAATTTAGCATTCAGTGTGGTTAATTATTTTGCTGTTATGAGTTTAACTTTTAGCTATTTATTTAATATTCACACCCTACCCCCATAAAGGCAAAACATACATTTTATTATAAAATGATATGAAACAAAAATGGTAAATTGCATTGCAGACTAAAATTTTTGTAATACTATCTTCAAGCAGTCTAACTTTTAAAAACTTAATTTTGAGATCTTTAAACTATTCAACCTATTATAGTCTATGATCAAACTCTAGTTTATTACTGGGGCTTAATTTCCTTTTATCTGTGCTTTTTGCCAATGGGACTAAAATCTTCTGTTTCTTTTATCTTGATGAAGCGAGTGGGAATTTTTTTAATGAAATGTTTTAGCTGCTGTTGCTATGTGGAGCAAGAAAAAAAGAATGAAATGTTTGAAAACTTTTGTAGTGGTTTGATAGCAGTGGTGTCTTAGTAGGCTTGAGCTCTTAAGCAGCGTACAAGATCATAAGAAATAAATAAGAACAGGATCATAATTCTCATTGGTGCCCTTACATTTCCATCATTCCTTTATTCTGTCTATGGTACCAGTATTTTGTTATCTGTTCTTAACCACTTTTCCTCATTTATTTTATGCCAGAACTGTTAATTCATTTGTTTATTTCGCTTGTCATACTTAAACAATTCTAGGGCAACTTAACTAATCACCGTAAGTAGGCCAGTCAAATTTTCTATAGGAATTGAGTCCAAGTAGCTCCTATACCCAAACATTGTCGTGAGTCCTATGTCCCTCAGAGTAATTGTAAATATGCAAGAAAAAAACATTGTTAGTGGAAGAAAATAGAATGAGAAGATAAACAGTTGAGAGTGTTTAATGAAAACGAGACCTATCTCAACAAAAAAGGCAGTTCATAAACATTCTTATGTGACCTTGGCAAGAGCCATGGAAAGTGATTAGCTCAAAGCAGACCTGCACAACTACTGAGTAGTAAGGGGCCAAAATCACATAGATTAAACCTCTTGGGGCCACAAATAAGTTTTTAGCATCTCACTTTCCAAGTAAGGTATGATTAATGATTAATTGTGATTGTTGTTGTCTGCCTTCAAGTCGTTTCAGTCTTAGGGTGACCATAAAATGACTCTATCACAGTTTTCTTATCAAGATTTATTCAAAGACCGTTTGCCTTTGCCATCCTCTGAGGCTGAGAAAGTGTGGTTTGCTTAAAGTCACCCAGTGGGTTCAGTGCCATAGCATGAGGTTCAAAAGACTACACTGTGTTTTCTGAATTCCTTCCCTCTCTTCTCTTTCTTTCTCCCTCCCCTTCCCCTCACTCCTTTCCTCTCTTTTTACTATCTCTTTCTTTCCTTCTGCCTTTCCTTTTCTCCTTCACTCCTTCCTTTCTGCCCAGAGGCAGACAGCGGCAGTGAGAGAAAGCAGCAGCAAGCAGGCAGCTGGTGCAAGTGGCAATGAGGGAAAGAGGTAGGAGGGTAGCAGGCAGGTGGCAAGCGGGTGACTGGGGGAAGCAGCAGCACTTAGGAGGCTGCACCAATGGCTTGTGTGGGCCACATGTATGTTGTGCAGGCCTGGTCTAGGCATTTGGCCTCAGCAGAGCAGAGGCCTATTGACCTGTTTCCGTTCCATCAGGTCATAGGTAGGATATGGGAGGTATCTCCTAATCCTTCCCATAGCCTGACTGCTTTGTTTTAAAAGATCTGAGAACATCCCAATACTTAGATTACTTAATTCATGGATGGATCAATCAATCAATCAGAGAGGTGGAAAACATTATACAATCAATCAGAGAGTGAAGAACATCCTTTTTTACAACCATTTATTGTTTTTAACTTCACAGCCAGAAAGTTTTGTTATATAATCTATAATTTCATTGTTCTATAATTGTCCTTGGTAACTGTGCCATTGTATTATTGAGGGTAACAGAGAAGGCCAACCTGGTAGGATGCTGTGCTCATTGTACAACTTGTAACCAGTTTTTTTGGGGTTTTTTGTTTTGTTTTTCCACCAGGACTGTAGATAAATGATTTGGAGAACCTACTCTTGAGCATGCTATGTATAATTGCCCATGTGAAAAACTTGGTGACTACAGTTGATATCACCACATTTGATTGGCTTTTTTGGAGGTGATTGTGAATGCAAGCTTTACCAGAAACTGCAATTGCTTAAAACGGAAGGGCATATCTGTTGAAATCAGTGGAATACAGGGAATGAATACATCATTGCCCTTTCCCTCCCCAGTCAATACTGTTGCTTCTATGATGTTGAGCAGCGAAGACTTGCACCATTACATAGCCTAGGTGGGTTGAGATTCAGAAGCAGCATGATAGGCGAACCATAGGTGGTTTTCTCAAGTAAGGAATAGTCAGCTGTAATTTTGCCAGTTTATTCTTCTGAAACATAGCATACAGTACCTGGTATGCATTAACATTTTCCTATCCAAATATTGATGAAGGCTGACCGTTATTATTTACAGTAGAGTCTCGCTTTTCCAACATAAATGGGCTGGCAGAACATTGGATAAGCAAAAATGTTGGATAATAAAGAGGGATTAAGGAAAAACCTATTAAACGTCAAATTACATTATGATTTTACAAATGAAGCACCAAACCATCATGTTTTACAACAAATCAACAGAAAAACCAGTTCAATACATGGTAACATTATGTAGCAATTAATGTATTTACAAATTTAGCACCAAAGCATCGTAATTTATTGAAACAGCTATGGATCCGGGTGGGAGGTAGACTGTGTTGGATAATACAGAACATTGGATGGGTCAAGGTTCTGTTGTATTTGTTTTATCCCGCTGTTCTCCCATGGGTGGGAACCTTACTTTGATTTCAAGATCAGACATAATCTGGAACCTAACATTATTGGACATTTTAGAAAGAAATAGCTAGATCTTAATATTTTCTGTGTTGTATTACCCTTTACAGTAATAGCTGTTGTTAATTGTTGCCAAGGCAACTTCAACTTAGGGAAAACCTATGAATGAGTGAATTTCAAGTCACCTTGTCATCAGCAGTCCTGCTCAAATCTTGCAGACTCAAGACCATGGCCTCCTTGGTTCAGTTTATCTGTGTGTAGAGTTTTTGTCTTCTATAGTGACTTATGTCGTCTTGTGATAAATGCAGAGTGTGACTGCCTCACTT